GCCTTTTCTTTCTTTAACACAAACCTACCCAGATCCGCCATTTTGAAACTTCATTATCATCTCTCGATTCGGTGGTGCGCCTCGTCTATGAATCGTGCGATTGTATGGGGCCCAAATATGCAGGTTTCACCCAATTGTAAATGCCAAAGCCCGGGGCATCGTTGTTGCGCCATAATCGCAGATCGTTCACCGATCCAGGACCTGATCGTCGTTTGAGTCACGTTTTAGGTGGTCACAATTTATTCTGCCCGTGACACTAGTACTAACCTTTCAAACCTATCACCGGCATCAATAATTATATTAAGATTCTCTTTAATATTATTTATTGCAGGTGCTGTTGTAATTGGGTTTTGAAAATATTCTCTAATGCTATCAACCTCTTATGTAATTCTATTTTTTTGGATTGTAGCTTGATTTTTAGGAAGAGATAATATTCAGGGTGTTTCTGGTTGTTGCGCTATATTGCAAAACAATGATTCTTCGAATCTATCTATAGTATTATTAGAATTTTTATTTCTAAGAAATGATTCTTCAGATTTATACAAAACAAGAATTTTTTCATTAAGCTTGTCTATTTCATTTTGAAAAAATGCTAACTGCTTTTCTAAATAATCTATATAATTTTCTTGCTTTTCAGATTCTTTAAATACATTTTCTAACTGTTTTATAAGATTAGAAATTTCTGATCTCAATGGGTCTAGCTCCTTATCCCAAATTGAGATTTCTTTTTCAAGATAATTAATATAATCCTCTTTTGTAACAAGATCCTGTTGTAATTTGCAGACTCGATTTTGTATTGCTAATAAATCACCTTTAAATTGTTTAATTCTTTCACTATCTCCTTTTTCTTGCAATGTTTCTTTGGAGGAAACTAATAAGTTTATTATTTTTTCTTGAAAACTATGTAATTACTATATATTGTTTTTGAGCTTGTGAAAAAAATGTTGATTATTCCTATAATACAAATAGATTCTAGAAAAGCTTATGAACTAGATATATCTATTGCTTTGCATAAGATTTATTATCAACCTAATGGCTATCAAAGAACTGCGAAAAAATTGTATGAAGCTTCTTTAAAGACTGGGTTCAACTTTGTTGAGGATGAAGTACGTGATTGGGTTGAAAAACAAGCTTTATTTCAAATTCATAAGCCTCCTCCAAGGTATATTCCCCAAGTTTCATTTAATACAATTCAAATTCCTAATGAATGTCATCAAGCTGATATTCTCTATATGCCTTATGATAAAATTGGAAAAATAACCTATATGTTTTGTCTTAATATAGTAAATATTGCTTCTAGGTATAAAGCATCAGTTCCAATTGAAGATATTATTCTCAATATCGAAGATTTTGATCTAAAAAATATTTTAACTTCGAAAGCTGTTGCTATAGCATTTAAAAAAATCTATAATAATCTATTATGTTCTCTTACTTACTCTAAATTATTGTTAACAGATAAGGGTTCTGAATTTAGAAAGGATTGTGAAAAATTAATGATAAAACATTGTGTAAAAATTCAAAAAGCTAATTCTAAACGTACTATGGAAATTGTTGAAAGATATAACCAAACCTTAGCAGAAAGACTATTTCGAATACAAGATGCATCAGATTTGCTATTGCTAATATTTGAAAAATCTAGGGCTTGGGTGAAAAATCTTCCAATTATTGTTAAAGAACTTAATAATTCAGTAACTAGATTAATTGGCATGGCTTCTGCTAAAGCAATAAAATGAAAAAGATTATTTCATCATCTTCTAAAATACATAATAGACCCATGGGCTTTAATGAATCCAAGCTATCTTATAATACCCCTGTAAGATATTTACTTGAACCTGGTAAGCTAGAAGGTAGTTTTAAGCATGCAACTGATATGAACTGGTCTTTTCAAATTTATTATATTAAGAAATCTTTGGTACAAAAAAATTAGTCTATCTTATACTGGCTTGAAGATGATGAAGGCAATGGACCAAAGTGATCTTTTGTTAAAGAAGAGCTTTTAATTATTCTTTCAGATACAGAATTACCTCCTCAATGGGTGCTTGTGAGTTGAAAATACTCATAAAATATTTCAAGTTGGTATTTGTTGTTACCATTGTATTTGCTTTACATATTAAGAAAATCTTCTGCTTCTTTATCGATAGAGTCTTCTTTGACGAAATAATCTTTAGCTAATTTGCAATATAACTTGTATAATTCTATAATAGAATTATGAATCTTTGAATCATTGCCATATTATGATTTGCAATCATTTATAGTTTTATTATATTTGCCTTAATTAGGAAATATGGTCATAGCAGAATTTAATACATACTTTTTTGGGTCTTCTGCCTGATGCAATTTCTTAATTCTTTCTTTATAGTTCTGTATAAATTTGCCATCTTTTGGCTTTCTATAATAGAGACCTGCTTTGATTACATTAATTAAAGCTTGCTCAACTTCTTTATATGTGGGTTTGATTTCAGTTATTTGAATTTCAGCTAAGGATCTGGCCTTATCAGTTATTTGAATTTTAGTTAAGGATCTGGCCTTATCAGATACTTAATCGATATTTTTATTAGTAGATGACATTTGAATATGTAATATGTTTTGATTATCTAAAGTTTTGTATATGATTGCTAGTACGAAATTACTTATCTGTTACTTATAAAATATTTTTATTCAATTTGAAAATACATATATACTAGGCATATATAAAAATGCAGTTAGGTGAATATATATGCGATTTCCTTTTATATACTGGAAGGATATGTGCTCAATCATGTATGAATTCTAAAGGGTGTTGGCTTCATAAAAATGCTATTAGGCATTATCCCTGTACTAATTGTGGTAAACCTACTCGTTCTGATAGTAGACGATATCCAGATCATACTAGAAGCTATTATGTTGGTAAACATTATCAAAAGTATTATAAAAGGAAAATAGATACTTAATTTTTGGTACTTTGATTTATATATAGATGAATAGTATATGATATCAGGTATGACAATGCGATTATTTTTTTGTCATTATCCAATTTGATTATAAAATATAAAAATAGAGAGTTCTAGCTATATAATTTTTGGTACCCTGGTTTTTATATAGGTAGTAAAGAGTTTTTATAGAATATAGATTTCTTGAGTGATCTAAAAAGCAAAATGAATACTTTAATACCCAGGGTATCGAAAAAGTGACCCAGACTCCCATTTTCACCCTACTACAGCAATGTCAGATTGTTGTAAAAATTATATAATACTCTTCTATTTAGCTCTACTCTAAATACATTCTGCATTATTTAAATCACCTTCAGAGTAGAGTTAGCCCTGCAAGAAATTCTTAGATAATTCTCTACTTCGCATCAATGTCAGTCATTATCCTACACGTAGACTCATAACTTTTGTTTACCTTCTAATTTGTACTCTGCTAATAGCAGTCCACCCAGTACTAAAATAGCACAACACATACTACTGGTTGCCATAATTGAGAGTGTTCCATTCTGCATCAGGACCTGTAAACAATGCAGATCTTTTGGAGGGGGTAAGCTGATTCTCCCACTTTTTGTTAGCAAAAATTTTTTAAAAAAATCTACAAACAGTGGGAATATAGTTGAGCGTGTATGGCTGCAAAGACTTTAAAATTTTCTAAGGAGTGTGTTGAAATCTCAAGTTGTTTGTTGTTTCCCTGTGTTCTTCCAAGAAGTAACAGCCTAAAAGCTTTGTCGACAGAGAAGAGCTCTTTGTTCCTCCACCAAGATTTTTTATCCAAGAGCAACACTTGCTAGTTATCTTGAATACCAACGCTTTTGGCTTGTATGCCAAATGGCCTAAAGAGGAGTCCTGGGCAGAGAAAACCATTAACCTCTCGCCAAACTGCAAGTTAGACCACGTCTCTCCAACAAAAACTTGTTTTTCATTAGCAGAAAATTTGGTTTAGGTGATCAATGGGAAGAGTTCATATATTATTATTTATTTATTTATTAATTATATAAAAATTATATTATATAAGAATCAAAGAATTAATATTCTAAAAAATTAATTTTGAACTTAGTAGCAATTACTCTTTATACATCTTATATATATATATAATATCATATATCAAATAATTGATTGTAGAAAAAAAAATAATAATTACAATTAATTGACTTGTTGTAGCTATGCTACCAACTAATTATTAAAATAGATTTATTACAAAATCCTGAAAGACAAATTTAATATTGAAAAATTAGCCAGCATTAATTATAATGTTATGTTCTTTCAGAAAAATAGTTTTTAAGATTTTGTTGTAGAATCTATTGAAATTTGTAGATTATTTAGATAATTTCTAAAAATCATGATTTATTTTTTTTTGAAAATTTCATACAAAAAAAAATAAACCCTACTTTTAATCAATAATTTAAATTAAGCAATTTAAATTAATCATATTAATCATATTACTTATTGAGTCAATATTTAAAGTTATTTAATCATAATTAATACATAAATAAAAAATTTTTTGCTATCAAATATTTTTTATTTATTACAATACAATTACATATCAGAACAATGAATATCACCAATTAATAATGCTCGATAATTATCATCTGAAATAAAAACTTTTAGCCGTATTAAGATGGAATAGAAAATAAAATAACTTTCTCGACCTTTTGATGTCATCTCTTTACTAAGTTCAAGAAGTTTAAGCAACCTTTTAATAATCTGTAAAAAAAGTTTGAAAAAAAATAATCATATTATAACAATTAAAATTGTAATTAAAGACTTTATAAACTATAATATAGCATTACCTGTTTTTGTACAATATCAATTGACTCCTCATTTGAAGTAAATTCTTTAGGAATTAATATTGACAACTTTCGTACACTTACAACATCTTGCACAACTTTTAAAAATTTTTCATTCCAAGCTTCATAATTTGTAAACATGAATGAATTTGTTAATATGTTTGAGGATTTCTTCCAACATAAATTTACTAATCCACTTAATGCTATTTTTACACCACACTCCAATATATCTTCTTCAAATTGTAATTGTTTTTTTTGTCGTGGTGTAGCTAATACTATTAATACATCCAGTATTCTAACTAACCATTCCAAACATATCTTTCTTTTGCTATTTTCAGATTTATTATTGCCATGTATGTTAACATAAATAGCTCTATGTATCCATGCGAAAGGCAAGGAATAAGGTAAAGTTTCAATGTGAATCTTATCATTAAATGTGGTCAAACAATTTTGCAAAATTCTTGCTAGGTGCTTTGTAACATCAATACGACCTAATTCAGACATTGCGCAGATGGTGATAGTGCTTTTTATAAGATTATCATCATTCGTATCTTCAATGAAGAAGATGCAGGATTGTGTTGCAAGACGAATTATCTGAGCTTGATTTTCTGTTAAAGGTATCGAAAGCTTATAATAAACAACTTTTAATAATTTAATAAGTTCTTGCTGAAGTGAAACCAAGGCTCCAGTTGATGGAGCATCTTTAGTGTTTAAAGTCAAAATGTATTCATTCATTGTCATAAGAAAAATGACTTGTAATTCCTAAACATAAATGATTTAATATTAAAATAAACAGTTAATACAATAAACAATTATAATTATAAACTATTTTTCTTAGTAAAGTATACCTCATTTTCTGGATTAATTGAATTGCCAAATAAACAAGATGTCATTTTATCGACAATATCTATTACTCGAGAATTTGGTACTACTACTTTTTTTGCAATACTTTCTACTCCTCGCATTTGAGTAGATTGTTTGTCATCAGTTTCTTTAATTGTTTGAGTAGTTTTTTCAAATCCACATAATTCGAGAATTTTTCCAAGTCCTTCACAAATAAGAAAAGTTTTAAATTTTATATCGATATTATTATCTGAATATATATTTGGAAATTCAATTAATATGTGTACAAGGAATTCCATTAATGATACAGAACGTGAACAATGTTGTATTGCCATTGTAACGATTAGATATTTTAAATTAAATTTCATGAATGCAGGTTCATTGAATCGAACAAAGAGAGGAAACCAGTTTACTGGTGGAAGTATAGTGCTTATTTTAGAGAATGTAGAAATTATCAAACTCGCTGCTTCAATAGACGAATCAGGTGGTGAACTCTCTAACATTATATAAAGTGACAGTAACAGGTAAATAAAAATCAATAATACTATATATGAAAATATTACAAAATCAGAAAAAAAAAATTTTTTTTTTACCTAATGAAATCCATACAAGTCGATCAAACAAAGATTTCAAATAACTCGAAGCAGGTAATCTGGAATAGTCTTTAGGTTCAGTACTACTTGTAATAGATCTTGCAGAGTCACCAACAAGCATTGCAGTATCTTCAGATATTCTTTCAATAACTTGCATTAATTGTCCCAAAATAATTACAGCTAATCTTCCACCTTTAACATCACTCATAGTCATTTCTAAAGATGAAGCTTGTGATCCAAGTTCTGCAACATTCTGTAATATATCCAAAACTTGGGTAACAATAGCAGAAGATGCTGATGAAAAGAAATAAAAATTTCTATTTCGTGCGTGATATGGAAGCGAAAAGTAGTCAACACCTGCAAGTGATCCTATTGTTATTAAAGCAGTATGTCGTTTTGATGAACTTGTACCAGCTGTTGTGAGTGTGTGAGTACATGAATTTACATTTGCATTAAAGGATGACAAGTTATGCGATGATTGTTTAACTTGGAGAATATCTTGTAAAACATGCGAATAAGATTGAGAAAAATGAAAATGATATTCGGACATCTCTTTCTAAATAAGAATAATAAGAGTATAAAATAATACAAGTGTGACTTAATAAATGTATTTTTAATATTATTATCTAAATCAAAAAAAATGTTTAGACTTACTCTAGCCCCTGAAATTTTTGTTGCTTTTTCTAAAATCTCTATAATTTCTTCGTTTAGACCTTTACCTCTTGAAAAACTGACAAACCATGCAGATCCAGCAATTCTACTTTTGATATTTTCATCAATTTTTCCATTATTCTCAACAAATTTCTTTAAATCTGATAATGCCATCTGATATATTCGTTCAGTTTCAGGTTCATCATCACAATCAACATTTGACAATCCAATCATAATACCCAAGTATAAATTAGTTGGGCCTAAATTATCTAAAGATGTACTTGAAATTAAATCATAAAGAAATGACACCGTTTGTGAACAAATATTTGACATTAAAGACGTCTTCATTGGAAATGAAGCAAGATAAGATAAAAGTGTTCCAAGTGAATATCCTGCACCAAATAAAGCCCATCCTGTTGTAGAACTTGAAGTATTTTTATTGCATAAGTTAATTGTACGCGTTATTAAACTACAAGTGAAAAAAGATTGTTGCTGCTTACGTTTTATCTTCACTTAATTTTGTAACTAAAGTATCGACCACTTCCTGTACCAATTTTTCATTCATAATTGTTAATGTGGATAAATATCCTAAAGCCATTGCGACAGCAAATTGAACATCATCACTAGTGATAAGGCTTGAATCTTGATGTTGATGTTCGTATTGATGTTTGACAGCCAAATTCGCGTCAACAAAATAATAGTCCAAAAAGTGACGTAATGTTGTTGTAGCATATTGTTGAGTTGATGACACATTTAACGATTTGAGTGAGAGACATAATCCTAATAATACATTTTAATAAATTAATAAATTAAGTATGGATAGCAGCAGAGTTGGACTTTTAATTTCTAAAGTAAATATAGAGTAATACCTATAAGAGCCAAAATTATATTTTGACAAGTATAAGGAAACCTTGCATCATCTAGTCGCTTCATTAAATCTTCTATTAAAACTTTTATTATTTCATCTTCACTTTCTGAAGTAGTATAGGACAATTCTCGCAATCCTTTTTCAAAAAAATTGCACCAATTTGCTACAATGCCTAATCTTATTACCCAATGATCCGTTAAATTAATATCTTGAATAGCATTTGCCATCAACTTATAAAATCTTGTTGTTTTGAGATCCTTTATTTCACTTAAAGTTTGTGATCTTGATTTATTAGAATTATCCATTTGTGAATTAAAACAGATCAATGAAGCCAATGCATATCCAGCCCGTAAACCAGGGCTAACCAAACCTATTTCCCATTCATTCACAATTTTTGTAGCAATTGATTCAATTTTCTCCTTTCTACTTTGAAAAACATTAGTATTGTCGGATTTTGATGTGGCCGATTTACCACCACTACTAGCTTCAACAGAGACGCCCCTTAATAGATTTCGTCTCATATTATAAACTTCATGGGAAATAATCTTGCTTAATACAAATTGCCATTCTTCAACTTGACTCAAATTCCAAGATCTCTCATTTGAATTAAAAATTTGAGATAATAATGTTTCGGATGATACAGGAAAGATTGACAATATATCAGTTGCGTTAAATTGTGAAATGGTAATAAGACCATGTTTAAGGATCATAAAGTTTTGTTGAATTTTAAACACAATAGAATCATCAATAAGAACTTCTTGATCTGTCTCTGAAGTATAAAGAATTTTTTGAGGAAATATAAGTGGACACAAGTTTGATTCTAATATATTCTGCTTGAATTCATTGTAAGCGACAGTGTCTAAATAATAAAAAAGTATATTAATATCTTTTTGAAAAGAAAAATAATACAAAAAAATAGATCTATAAAGTTACCATCGTCATGCTGTACAATTAATTTGTAAAACTCGCACAATTTCGAGATTAAATGTATATTCAAAGGATCAGTTTGCATAATGGCATCAGCAATATAAGACATTAATACAATCCAAACTATATAAAGAATAATACGTGACATACAAGTAGTAATTAGGACATGAAGTAATTAGAACATTGGGTAGAAATAATTCTTAATTTAAAATTACCTGCTCTAGTTTCTACTACTTTGGCCTCTACACAAGCATTTAGTGCTTCTATAACCAAATATAAGCTCTTTGGATGTAAGATTACAGATTGAAGTAAACTTGATATGAAAGGAAGTAATTCTTCGGCATAATCTCTTCCTTTGGATTTACAAATGTCTCTAAAATTATTTACGTTTAGAACCTTGCTATAAAAATAAATTTTTAAAAAGATTAAAAAAAACTATCTCACCTAATAGTTGATAAAGCTGCCAACTCAATTTCAAATCTTTCACGTTTAGTATCATCATATGCAGATGTTTCTAGTTTTCTTTCCTTTGTCCATTCTGATAATATGAATCTTAATTGTTTCCAACATCTTCTTTGTCTCAACCAGAGTTTATATAGCATTCTGATACCAACTGCGTTTAAATTTGTTTCCTTTTTTATTTCCTGTCCTTGAACAAGACCCATAGTAATTTTCAAAATTTTTGCAGTAATAGTTGGATCTGTAGTCGAAATCAATGAAGGTAAAGCATGGTGCAAAATGTGAAGGTGAATCAAAGTGTCACCATCATTACGTAAAACATAAAGAATCAACAGAAAAATAGGAAATTTTTGTGTTTGAATCAAAGCAAAATCGCTATTAATTATTGAAATCAAATAATCTAAAGCTAAAATTCTTGTGGCAACATCGTGATGAAATAAATAAGGTACATAAAATAGTGTAGAAAAATAAGAATCTAAATTTTTAAATTCATACGAAGAGGGTGAAGAATAAGAATTTAAAAGACAATTAATTTCGGATAATATTAATGCTATTGTTCCAGTGATACACGGTAATTTGAGAAGAATGGAAATCTGCTATATAATATAGATTAGAAATATTAAATTGTAATACTAAAATTTGTAGCATTTTTATAGCTTAGTTAAACATTACCTCATTAAATTCCAAGGGCGTATATTGTAATGTTTGAAATTTTTGAACCATCAAAAGTATTTCCATAGCAGTATTCCTTGTAGTACTCTTTTCCACATCAGAAATCACTTGGAATAAGGGTAAAATTGCGACACCAACTAATGGAGGTGGAACATCACAATCATTTATATTCTTTAATTTGAGCTCAATTAGTTTTTGCATAATCTCGAGAATCATTAATTGGTTATCACTAGATTGAGTATCAAGGAGCAGAAAAGAGAATGTTGGCCAGATTAAAATAAAGCTTGATTGTGATAAATGATTTAAAGAACCTTGAGGTATTGATATTTTGTAAAATAACGAAATATAATGGTTTGTTGATAAATTAGCATGTTGCGCATCACAAGCAAGTGCCAAAATCTGAGTTCCAAGGGTATTGTTAAACTTTTGCAAAAATGTTTCATTCAAACCATTTTGAATAAAATTTACTCCCACAATTTGAACAAGAGACTGTATAAGAATGTATATAGAGTTAGATGTGATAAAATTTTTTGTAGAGTTAGTAAAAATAGGTGTTAATGGTACTCTTTGAACAACTGAGAGTAAATATTCTAATAAATGTTCTTTAAAGGTCCAGTAAAACTCATCATCGGCATCTTGATAAATCAAATGAATTAAGAATTGCATTAATACTGAGGACCAATACTTTTGAAATTCAAGATTTTCTTTCATTCCATCTAACAGAATATGATCAAAAAATGGCTTCATCATATTCAATAAATTTTCAATATACACAGACTTTTTTTGAGGAGTGTTAGGTTCAACAAATCTTATTCTAGAAATATCAAAAATCTTTTCAAGTTGAGAAAGCAAGATGGTGCATGTTTGTTCGGGTTTAATTGTCATCGCAATTATAAAAGGATGCCTCCCATGATTAAAATAATATTCACCTATGCACGCTTGATTTGATAATATTTCAGTTATACCTATTATAGCATTATCAAGAGAAATTCCTGAGAGAGTTGATAGTGCATCTGTTAATCCGTTAAGAGCATCAATCCAATTAACAATTCCCTTTTGAACAAGTTCAACTAATTTGTTAACAGCGTTTGATGAAATGATTCCAGATTCCGATTTAACAAAATTCCAGAGTTTATCCAAAGGCGAAGGTTCATTTTTGCCTTTTGGGTATGATTTTGCAGCTCCAGGATTTGCAATAATTATTTCAGTTATTTTTTGAATTGATCGAATAGTTACAGAACGATGTTGTAGTAAATCCATCTTTTAAAAAAACCAAATATTGAAATTGAGTACAATACACCGTTTTATACGTAATCATTTTTTGTGTAATATACCGATGATCACCGATAAACTAGCTAATTCTGCAATCGTGCATACAACAGGTCGAAAAGATGCTAAGCATGTGATGCGCATTGTGGAACATCAATGAGATGAGTATGATTTGAATCACTAACTTAATAAAGCGGCAATGAGAATAAAAATAAATCTGTGGGAAATGCAAGTTGGTCTTATGCCAACGATTGCTCACTCAGATGCGACAGACCACAATTCGCGATACAGCGTTGACAAAGAAGTGTTAAAGACTTATTAAAAAGTTTAGACTATTGCGAAGCATTCTAATCATCATAACGTTATTCCAATCTACGAAGTAACAAGGAATAACAATGGAGGTGACAATGGACAGATAAACTACGCATTGCTAAGTGAATAGCACTCGGCTTTTAATTTCACATGATATGATATTATTCAGAGATCTCATTCGAAATCATCTCAACAAATGAAAGCAAGCCAAAAATCACAGATTTTGGTCTATCAAGGTAGGCAAATGAGACATCGAAATTTCCTTAGTTCCTTATTAATCAACACACAAGCACGATAACAGGTCAAATATCTACAGCTGTGGTGTAATTATCTGGGAAATTTCAAGTGGAAGGATACTATCTCAAACCTTCAAATTAAAGATGACAAAGCTCTATAATCATTTTTACGAAGAGAACCTATTTAAGGAGTCAACACAATCCAATTGAAACATTATCTGAGAATAGCGAAATTTCCTTAAGCCATCAAGACAAATATAAACGTATATTATTCTATATCATCTCAGTTTATATATATGGTACAAGTAATTTAGTGCAGAGCAGCAGCATCCCTGTGAATCTGAGAAATGAAAAATGAAGTATGTGAATTTTCCTTTTTGAACAAGGCAAATTTCTCAAAGTATTAGAGCTTGTTTATAAAATTCTCGAAAGCAGCCAGCACAGTCCCAAAGACCAATTCAAGGCACTTGGGCCATTTGAGGGAAAGTGGTAGAAGATAGATCTTGTAGAATACCATAGCATTCGAATTGAATGTCAATTGTGGGAATGAACTTGTACCGTAATTCTAGAATGGAACGAATATTTAGAATTGAAAATCATCACGAGGCAAAATAAAGTAATCAGGAATTAATATTATTTGCTTTTTCCGGGTGCATATCCGGTTTCAATTTCAATAACGCATAATTCGCAACTAATACAATCTGCATCCATCAAATAAAATCAAAACACTGTATATCAGACCGGCTTGTTCCAATATAAGAAGCATGCTTTTCGTTTTCTAATATGGACGAATACAAATATCATTTTCCATTGGACAAAACCAATTACTTCATCGATCATGTTGATTAAAAATTGGGTTCTTTTTTTTAAAAAAAAATAATTATTTTCGCTGTTTAACACTAACATTTTGCTCTTTTGGGTTTTAGCACTTTCAAGTTTTTTTTAGTAATATTTTGTGTGAACGTTTAAATAAATTTTCGCCAATAATTTTTATTATACCTACTTCTTTAAATCATACTGCTATACGAAAATCTGAAAACAGAATAAGTATTAATTTTTTTTTTTGGTTTGCTTTGTTTTATTTTGGTTTGTTTTTGTAAGTGTATGAAAAATTTACTAATTATATATTTTAATTATTTAGGAACTTAGCAGTGAGTAATTTTGATTGAAACGATCCATTATATTAATCAATTATTACAAGGTGGTGTTGTCGTTTTTCAAATAAAGAAAAAGGTTTTGAATGGAATTTCAATTATTTTATTTGCAATTTGACTAAATTTTTCGAAGAAAAATATATAACCACGAATTATTTCATTATTTGTTGAGTTGTTTTCCAATTTTGCCGTAGTATTCTGTTGAGTTTCTTGACAGTTGGTAGAAAGTTTTTCCGTCTGGGAAATACCAGCATCATTTGGCAATTCTGAATCATCGGTTTCACAATGTTTCAATGCATTTATTTTTCAGTATTACTAATTAACAAACTAGCACCTATTGAAATATTGTGTCAGGGTTACTGTATGATTTCCGAAAGCTATTTTCCCGAAAGAACAAAATACTGACTAATTATTTTTCTTTCAGGAAAGTTGCTGAGTACATTATTGTATTACGGTATTAGTATTATTAGTATTAAAAAAAAACAACTATTAATTAGCAATTTTCAGTAGCATTTTATTTAGTTGCGTTATTGTAACAGTATCAATAAAAATGACGTGTCAATTATTTTTTAAACAAAGGTAAAATCGCGGTCAAAAAAGGAATTTTGAACAGAGTTGGGTATTTTTAAAAATTGCAAGCTTGTAAACGTAGGTCTCAGCAAAATTTTATTCTCTTGAGCATAAAATACCGAAAAAAAAACTTTATAAAATTTTCTTAGTTGTGCCAGAAGCACTTATTTTAGATTATTTCAATTTTTTTTTTACTACAGTATCAGAAAGAACTTTGAAAGTGCATAAACAAATACTTTCGCTTAATAATTATTTTAATTTTTTTTTTGAAGAAGAAAAACTAAAACGATGTTTTTTGATTTTACGGCTGCTCTAAGGTGGCATGATCTAGTTTACCAAATTGAAGACGGTATTTCATGCGTCCAATCACAAGTGGTGGGGGAAACTAGGGCTCCCAAAAATTAAGGTGGGTTTATATTAAAAAGATTAGAAACCCTATTTTATGTTCTCACATACTGATCATACGCCTTCACGATCAACCAAGTAGAGATTGGAACCGGTGAGTTTCGAGTATTGATTGATCACAAACTCTAGAATCTGGAGCATCGGTAAAAAAATTTTGACCGATATTCGAATGTTTGATGAATTTTTAAAAAATTTAGCAATATTTATCAATTGTACTACTATCACACATTTTTAATATATAATTTATCAATTATATAATCAATGTTATCATTATCAAAGTTACATTTCAATCAAATAATGTTATCATTATCAATAAATAGTTAAATTTTAACTTTCACTGATGCTCGATGATAACCGAATAAAAAACTCAGTGAATGAAAGCTTATTTTCGATGCTCGAAATTTTTGATTGATGATCGAATAATTAACCAAGCTCTAAAGTAGAAAGGAATATTTGTATCACTAACGAAAATGGTAGCGAAGACATAAAAATTTCTAATTTTTTTTTTTCGGGATTTATTAGGACAATCGATTTTTAAAGTTTTCGGAGTAAAATTGTTACTTCTTTTTTGTTATTATATTAAAATAAAAAAGAGTCAAAAAATGAATGTAAATACGTAACATTTATACTAAACTCTGTTATCTAGTTATTATTTATAATATTACACATAAATCTAAGAGATGTTCGGTAATTTAAAAACTTGAAAACTTTAAAATTCCAAATAGCATTGTACTGTAGTACTGTATAAACTTTTTCAATAATAAAATCAAACCTTTAAGAAAATACAAATAATAAATCAGAATTTAGAAATGAATTCAAATATAATTATCAGATTTTAAAAAAATTAGAAAATACTAATAAAAACTTTGTAAAGTTATAAACTAGGTAACATATAAAATGGGTTAAATTATTCTAATAGGGTGATTCAGAATTAACTTAATTCGAAAATAAGTGGGCTTAAAAATCCTTTTATTTTTTTTTTGAAATTCCAAATATCAGAAAATGAAATAGGAACATATAATCAATTGCTCGAAAATGGAGTCATAGACATCATTAAAATTAATATTAACAACAATGTTAACATTCTATTACATTCAGGTCCAACTTAGCTAATAAAGCATAATTTCTTTATCTTATTTTTAGTTCCAAAGTTGGGAGGGTTGCTTTTATTACTCGGTGTTTCTATTTCATCAAATTCAGCAAAATTTCCATCTATAAAAAAAAGAAAATTTATTGAACAACGCTATAATAAGAAGAATACAATCATACAATTTATTAAAAATGAAAATTTATAGTTACCTAGACCTGTAATAAGGCTGCTGTTACTGTTACGACGTGAATAACTATACATTTGCATATCTTCATTTATTACATTTCGTAGTTTTATATCAGATTCAGACAATTCTAATAAAATATTTTCGTTATTTTGCCATTCTGCGAAAATAGCACAAAGTTCGTCTGCTGTTGGTCGTTCTTGTGGTTCCATGCTCCAACAGTTCTTCATTAAATCAGAATAGCATATTGCTGTATTTTCATAAATATGTGGTCGCAAACCGTCACATACTTGTATTCTAAATTGTAAGTCGAAGATTTGTGTATGATAAACATTTATACCGTATAAAATTTCCCACATGATCATGCCAAATGAATAAATATCAGATGCCTTAGTATATTTTTGGCACATTAAGATTTCAGGAGCTATGTATTGTAAAATTCCAAAAATTCTGGATCCTGATGCAAAATTATCAACTTTCATCGAAAGTCCTAAACCTGCAATGTATGCACTGCTCAAGGTATCTTGTAGTATTCTTCCACTATGTAAATCCCGGTGGATAAGATCATGAGAATGGATTATCTGAAGATCTGATGCAATACATTGTAGCAAATTTAATTTGTCTTTCCAATCCATTTGTATTATAATACGCAGATTTTGGCGCAAACTACCTTTGGAAGCGTATTCCATGACAAGTATATAATCTTCAGAGTCTTTATCTCTTGATACACCAAAAAATTTTAAAAAAATTGGATCGATATCGCAATATGCTTTTAACTGCATTAAAAGAAATAAATATTCAAATTATTTTTATAACATAATTATAAATCACGAAAAACATAACTAATAAAACTATTTGATAAAAATTACCTCACTTATAAGTTCTTGCTGATGATTACTTGATCCATGAAGTAATTTAAGCGCAACACTTCTGTCGAAATTTTGACTTTTATCCCATCTAGCCCAATATACTGTTGCAAATCCACCTTTACCTATTTCTTTAATAATTTCAAATTCATCGTAAGAAATCCATGATAACCGGTATTTATTTTCGAACAATATTTCTTTCAACTCATCTTCAATTTCAGAGATTTCAGAATTATGCATCCATTCACTTGTAGCTAATATTTATTTATGGAATTTAATCAGGTTTAGATTATAAATAAATTAATAATATATAGTTTATAATAAATTAGTTATGATAATACCTGGTGTTATATCTTTTCCCCTAATTGGTAGTTAAATATCAATAAGAATTTGTTACATAAATATATATCAAATACCAAGTTCAGGTGCAACGATCTTTTTCTTTTTAAAAAAAAATCATATAAACTGTGACTTTGGCTAGGAAATTAAAGCAAAAGTCGGTTATAACGTCTAAGAAGGCATAACACATGCTCTAAAAGAATTTTTTTTAGATTTTTTATCTATCGCACTTTCCTAACCCATACATTTACCATAAATTAATAATCTTTAACTCATTTACGCCTGATCTTAAAATTGATACTGTGCTACATTACAATATTTCAGCAAACTTAAACTTAAATTTACCTTTGATACCAGTATTTTGCTTTTTGTATATCTCTACTCATTCCAATTCCATTTCGATAAAAATATCCAACATAGAATGTTCCTCTACCGTGCCACATCTCTGCAGATTTTTGATAATAAATGAATGCCTCATGCACATTCTTTTCAACTCCAATTCCATGATGATAACAATATCCAACCTGAAATATTCCATCAATGTTTCCCATCTCTATAGATTTTTGATAATAAATGAATGCCTTCTGTTCATCCTTTTCAACCCCTATCCCATGTTGATAACAATATGCAATATTACGCATTCCAAGAGCGTCACCCATCTCTGCAGATTCTTGATAATAAATAAATGCTTTACGTTCATCCTTTTCCACTCCAATTCCATTTCGATAACAATATCCAACTTGAAATATTCCATTAGCGTCACCAATTTCTGCAGATTTTTGATAATTTATGAATGCCTTATAGTCATCCTTCTCAACTCCTATTCCATGTTGATAATTGTATCCAAGGTCATAAGGGTCTAAACTAGTTAATTTTTCATGGTCAACAGAGTTATTATAATAATTCATTTACAAAATCCCAAATTAACAGTTTAAATAACAAGTTTATGTATATTACCATTTTTGCATCACTATCGAGTGGTACATCTTTTATCCTAGCTGCAACAAATCTGTCGCAGCAGATTCTCGATTTTTATTGGCTGAACTGTATGTACTGTGTAAACAGCGGGAATCCCGGGCTGAAGATCACTGTAGATCCTTTCCGATCTAATTCCGGAGCCAAAATATTCAATTTCTTTAAAGATTTCTCAGTAACAATTCGATCAAATTTAGTAAAACATTTCTATATATTTGTAAAATTAAGATAAAAAAAAAGGTCATCGAATTTTGTTTAGTGGTTGTCGAGAAACCTTCACTAGAAGTTTTTAAAAAGCTTGAAATACCTTGGAAAACAAATCTAAAATCGGTAAATTTTTCTTTTTGAAATTTTAAACGATGATTTCTCAGCACCCATATATCCAAATTCAAATAATTTTATTTTATTTTGATTCTGTAAGTTTGCAAGATTAAAATAAAAAAATTACTTAAATTGAATAGGCAGATGTTGAGTAAAAGTTAAAAAAATTTGGCCGTAGCTTTTTTTATTACAGATATCTAAGCTTTGAACGAAGATAACTCAGCACCTATCTAATAAAATTCGATGACTATTTTTTTATTTTAATTCCATGAGATTTAGAATTAAAATAAAAAAAATTGATCTAATATGATCAGGTAAGTGCCGAGTAATCTTCGTTCAAATTTTAGATACCCGTAAAAAAAAAAAGCTGCGGCCAAATTTTTTTTTTTAACTTTTAATCCCTATGGAAAATCGGTACACGTATGTACACACTATAGTTTTTCGGCAAAGCAAAACTATTATGATAATATAAATAAACACTATAAATTTATATATTTAAACAAAAAACAGTGATTTATTATTGAGGTTTTTAGGCTTTAATTTATATTTAATTCTGAAGATCTTTATTGAATTGACCTGGCTTGTATATTTAATTTTTTAAAAGCCAATTACAGGAATTATAAATAGGTAATAGACCATTAACATCTCTCGAAATATTTAAGCAAATAAATAAATATAAATAATTTTCTCTACTTATTTTTAGTTCCAAAATCGGGTGGGTTGCTTTTATAAATCAAATATCATATGGTACTTCAATTTTATCTAGTTTGATACCTAAAAAAAAAAAAATTATTGAACAACGCTATAACAATATATAATTTATCAAAAAAGAAATTTTTAGTTACTAATAAAGCTACTGCTACTGTTACGACGTGAATCAATATATATTTGCACATCTTCATTTACTGTATTTCGTAGTTTTATATCAGATTCAGATAATTCCGATAAAATATTTTCGTTATTTTGCCATTCTGCAAAAATATTACAAAGTTCGTCTGCTGTTGGTCGTTCTTGTGGTTCCATGCTCCAACATTTCTTCATTAACTCAGAATAGCATATTGCTGTATTTTCATAAATCTGTGGTCGTAAACCAATGCATACTTGTATTAAAAGATGCGTGGCTTCTTGCGCATTATGAACACGTTTACCGTATAAAATTTCCCACATGATCATGTCAAATGAATAAATATCAGATGCCTTAGTATATTGTTTCCCGTTTAAAATTTCTGGAGCAATATACGGTAAAACTCCATCAATTATATCAGTTTTGACTTGTGATGCAATATTATATAGTTATTGGATGCGAAGCAGCCAATAACGAGAATTATTTGTAAAATAATTCATTATCTGGCTGTGAATTTGATATGTCAGCTTCTGGGCCCCAAAGGGGCCCAGAAATGACACATATCAAATTCGCTGCCAGATAAACAAGTTATTGGCTGCGTAGCATACAATAACGGTGTTATCCGGTGGTTTACGACGATTGTGCTTGCCAAATGACTCGAGTTTTTGGTAGTGATTATGTAAGCTGCCAAATAACGAAGTTATTTGGCAGATGACGTAATCACTGCCAAATAACTCGAGTTATTTGGCAAGCACTATCATAGTAAGCTGCCGGATAATAGCTTTTATCGAAAATCCTAAACCTGCAATGTATGCACTACTCAAGGTATCTTGTAATATAGTTTCACTATGTAAACCCCGATGGATAATATCATGAAAATGAATTATCTGAAGATCTGATGCAATACATTGTAGCAAGTTTAATTTGTCTTTCCAATCCATTTGTGCTATAGTACGTAGATTTTGGCACAAATTACCTTTTGAAGCGTATTCTAAGACAAGAATATAATCTTCGGAAGTTCTATTTCTTGATATACCATAACATTTTAAAAAAGTCGGATTCTTAAGACCGATATCGCAATATGTTTTTAATTTGTATCAAAAGAAAGAAATATTCAAATAATTTTATTATAAATCATGAAGACATAATTAATAAAACAATTAACAAACATTACCTCTTTTATAAATACTTTGAAATGATAGCTATGATATAATTTAAACGCAACACTTCTATCTAAATTTTGACTTTTATCATACCATCTAGCACAATATACTGTTGCAAATCTACCTTCACCTATCTCTTTAATATTTTTAAATTCATCGTAGGAAATCCATGATAACCGATACTTATTTTTGAACAATATTTCTTTAAACTCATCTTCAATTTCAGAAATTTCAGAATTGTGCATCCATTCATTTGAAGCTAATATTTATTTATGGAATTTAATCATTTTTATATTATAAATATATAATAAATTAGTTATGATAATACCTGGCGTTATATCCTTTTCCCTAATTTGTAGTTAAATATATGAAATATATCGGCATGAATTTGTCATATAAAAATATTAAATACCAAGATCAGGTGTAACAATCTTTTTCTTAAAAAAAAATTAAATCGAAACTATGACTTATGAAATCAAAATAAAAGTCGGTTATAACTCTAAATATTGCCTATTAAGTCATTACATGCTCTAAAAGAAAAAATTTTAGCTTATTTCTCTATCACACTTTCCTAACCCAAACATTGGCCATAAACTAATATGACCTTTAATTTCATTTACACCTGATCTTATAATTGATACTGTGTTGCATTACAATACTCCAACAATATTAATACTAAACTCAAAACTTACCATTGATACCAGTATTTTGCTTTTTGTAAATCTCTAGTTATTCCAATTCCATTTCGATAAAAATATCCAACATAGAATATTCCTCTAGCGTGCCACTTCTCTGCAGATTTTTGATAATAAATGAGTGCCTTATGTACATCCTTTTCAACTCCAATTCCATGATGATAACAATATCCGACCTGAAATATCCCATCAATGTTTCCCATCTCTATAGATTCTTGATAATAAATGAATGCCTTCTGTTCATCCTTTTCAACCCCTATCCCATGTTGATAACAATATGCAACATTACGCATTCCAAGAGCGTCTCCTATCTCTGCAGATTTTTGATAATAAATAAATGCTTTACGTTCATCCTTTTCAACTCCAGTTCCATTTCGATAACAATATCCAACCTGAAATATTCCATCAATGTCACCCGTTTCTGCAGATTTTTGATAATAAATGAATGCCCTATTCCATGATGATAATCGAATCCAAGGTCATAAGGGTCTAAGTTAGTTGATATTTCATGGTTAACTGAGTTATTATAATAATTCATTTACTTTTTAAAGACAAAATCCGAATCAAACAGGTTATTATATAATTTAAATACAAGCGTATTACCATTTTATAGTTTTGCGTTCACTATAGAGTAGTACACCTTTTATTATCCCTACCGCACCAATTTTGTCACAGCATTATCGCGCACCAACCTGGTACACATTTTCCGTTTGCATAATTTAATGTAAAAACGTCATGATTGACCTGAATACTTTTCAATCAGTGGAGATTAAAAAATAAAGTCGTCAATTCATAATCAACAAATTACAAAAATGACGTGTAACATTTACACGTAAAACTAAGAGGTTTGATAATTTAAAAACTTGAAACCTTTAAAATTCCAAATAACATTGTACTGTAGTATAAATTTTTTCAATAATAAAATCAAACCTTTAAAGAAAATACAAATATTAAAATATTTTGAAATTCTAATTCTAAAAATGAAATATGAACATAATCGATTGCTCGAAAATGAAGAAATGGAGCCATAGACATGTTAAAATTATATTAATAATGTTAGCATTCTATTACATTCAGGTCTAACTTAATAATTTTCTCTATTTATTTTAGTTCCAAAATCGGGAGGGCTGCTTTTATTAATCAAATATCATATGATACTTCAATTTCATCTAGTTTGATATCTATAAAAAAAAATGATTGAACAACGCTATAATAATCATATAATTTATTAAAAAAGAAAATTTGTAGTTACTAATAAAGCTACTGCCACTGTTACGACGTGAATCAATATATATTTGCACATCGTATTTCGTAGTTTTATGTCAGATTCAGATAATTCTGATGAAATATTTTCGCTATTTTGCCATTCTGCAAAAATATTACAAAATTCATCTAATTCATCTAACTCACTACCTATAAAAAAATTATTAAACAGTGCTATAATAAGAAGAATACAATCATATAATTTTTTAAAAAGAAATTATAGTTAGTTACCTTGATATGAAATAAAGCTACTGCTACTGTTACAATGTGAATCGATATATGTTTGCACATCTTCATTTATTGTATTTCGTAGTTTTATATCAGATTCAGATAATTCTGATAAAATATTTTCGCTATTTTGCCATTCTGCAAAAATATTACAAAATTCATCTAATTGATCTAATTCACCACCGATAAAAAAATTATTAAACAATGCTATAATGAGAAGAATACAATCATATAATTTATTTAACATATGGGCTGATTTATAGAATTGCCAATAACTTTTGACCTACTAATCTATTTTGAATAATTTTACTACCAAAATGTTCATCTATTGAGATGAATATTTTGGTAATAAAATTATTCAAAATAGATTAGTAGATCAAAAGTTATTGGCAATTCTATAAATCAGCACATATGAAAAGAAAATTTATAGTTACCTTGATATGAAATAAAGCTACTGATACTGTTACGACGTGAATCAATATATATATCATTTATTTTTATTACATTTCGTAGTTTTATATCAGATTCTGATAATTCTGATAAAATATTTTCGCTATTTTGCCATTTTGCGAAAATAGCACAAAGTTCGTCTGCTGTTGGTCGTTTTTCTGGGTTAATATTCCAACATCTCTTCATTAAATCAGCATAGCATATCGCTGTATTTTCATAAATGTGTGGCCGCAAACCATCTAATATTTCCGTAAAAAGTTGAAATTGTGAACCGTCGTTTCGTTCATGATGAACAAGTTCACCGTACAAAATTTCCCACATGATCATGGCAAAAGAATAAATATCGGATGCTTTACTATGTGGATGCCCGTTCAAAATTTCAGGAGCAACGTATGGTAAAGCTCCAAGAATTCCATTAGATTCTAATTTTGATGCAATATTAGCTTTTATCGAAAATCCTAAACTTGCAATGTATGCACTACTCAAGGTATCTTGTAGTATAGCTCCACTGTGTAAACCCCGATGGATAAGATCATGAGAATGGATTATCTGAAGATCTGATGCAATACATTGTAACAAATTTAATTTATCTTTCCAATCCATTTGTGTTATAGTATGTAGATTTTGGCGCAAACTACCTTTGGAAGCGTATTCCATGACAAGAATATGATTTTTAGAAGCTTTTTGTCTTGATATGCCAAAACATTTTAAAAAAGTTGGGTCTTTAAGACCGATATCGCAATATGTTTTTAACTTGTATTAAAAGAATAAATATTCAAATTATTTTATTATTCTAAATTATAAATCATGAAACCATAACTAATAAAACAATTAATAAAGATTACCTCTCTTACAAATTCTTCAGTATCATTACTTGAATAATGATATAATTTAAGCGCAACACTTCTGTTTAAATTCTGACCTTTATCATACCATCTAGCACAATATACAGTTGCAAATCCACCTCTACCTGTCTCTTCAATAATTTCAAATTCATCGTAAGAAATCCATGATAACCGGTATTTATTTTCGAACAATATTTCTTTCAACTCATCTCCAATTTCAGAAATTTCAGAATTATGCAACCATTCATTTGAAACTAAATATTTATTTATGGTATTTTATCAATTTTATATTATAAATAAATTAATAACAATATATATAGTTTATAAAAATTAGTTATGAATACCTGGTGTTATATCTTTTTCCCTAATTGGTAGTTAAATATATGAAATATATCGATATGAATTTGTTATATAAATATATATCAAATACCAAGTTCAGGTGTAACGATCTTTTTTTTAAAAAAAATTAAATCGAAACTATGGCTTGTGATATTAAAATAAAAGTCGTTTATAACGTCATATTACATGCTCTAAAAGAAAAAAATTTTAGCTTGTTTCTTTATCGCACTTTCCTAACCCAAATATTGGCCATAAACTAATGTGACCTTTAATTTCATTTACACCTGATCTTATAATTTGATACTGTGTTGCATTACAATACTCCAACAAAATTAAACTCAAAATTTACCTTTGATACCAGTATTTTGCTTTTTGAGAATCTCTAGTTATTCCAATTCCATTTCGATAAAAATATCCAACATAGAACGTTCCTCTACCGTGCCACATCTCTGCAGATTTTTGATAATAAATGAATGCCTTATGTACATCCATTTCAACTCCAATTCCATGATGATAACAATATCCGACCTGAAATATTCCATCAATGTTTCCCATCTCTATAGATTTTTGATAATAAATGAATGCTTTCTCTTCATCCTTTTCAACCCCTATCCCATGTTGATAACAATATGCAACATTACGCATTCCAAGAGCGTCTCCCATCTCTGCAGATTTTTGATAATAGATGAATGCTTTATATTCATCCTTTTCAATTCCAGTTCCATTTCGATAACAATATCCAACCTGGAATATTCCATCAACATTACCCATTTCTGCAGATTTTTGATAATAAATGAATGCCTTATGATCATCTTTTTCAACTCCTATTCCATGTTGATAATTAAATCCAAGGTCATAAGGGTCTAAATTAGTTGATTTTTCATGGCTAACTGAATTATTATAATAATTCATTTACTTTTAAAAACAAAATCCCGAATTAAACAATTTATTATATAATTTAAATACAAGTGTATTACCATTTTATAGTTTTGCGTCACCATAGAGTGGTACACCTTTTATTAGCCCTACCACACCAATTTTGTGATAGCATATTCTCGATTTTGATTGTGTAACAGCCATGATCTACAAAATTTTGGCCCGCATTATATAACTGTTTGCATAATTTCTGGCCGAAATTAGCTTTTTAATTTTTAATTTCAAAAATAGGGGATGTTAAAGTAGCAAAGTAAATTTGGCATCCCCGTGATTTTTACCCAATCCGATTGTAAGATAAATGTGTAACATAAAAATTTAGAAAAAAAAATTACGAAAAAAACAAGAAATCATAAATTTGCTATGAACCTAGTTGTTTGTTATTAAATAAAAGTTTTCAGCACAAAAATTTACATATATCTTCTCTATTTATTAGCGCAAATATTAATATTTAGATGAAAATTAGATTGCATCGATGATAGATTAGTCACAGGACTGCCAATTTTTCGTGCCATTACTTTGCTAGCCGGGGATGTTAAAGCCGATGCGTTAGGGTGTGCAATACTATAATATAATATATAGATATATAGTTAGGATAATATATGTCGATTATTATTTGCGGATTTTTTAATGTCTATATAAATTTTTTTATAGTATTATAAATTATTTAAATGCCGAGTCTGAAAAATTACTGATCTGAGTTAAATAAATTTTTGATCCGAGTTAAATATTAAGTATTCGAATTTTAATTATTCATAATAGTCATATATATATTTATTTACAAAGGTATATTTTTTGAGAAAATGAGATTAATTATAGAGTTTTTTTTTCTTAACATGTAAATAAAAAGTATTCTCTTTAATCAAATAGAGCCATTTTCTTTTTAAAATTGCAAATTTAAAATTTATTTACAATTATTGATATATCAAAAAATTACATATTTTTAAATCTATTTTTTGAATTATAAAATATTATTATCTAAAAAATCACTCTATTTTATGTACAATTTAGCTTTTGTATTGTTTATATTAATAAAGTCAGTTTGCAAAAAAAAATGTACCTAAAAATTTCACTTTTTACCATTAGAGTGACGCCTAAAAATTATCCGCGGATGCCATGGCAAAAACCGACATATATTACCCTAACTATATATCTATATATTATAGTATTGCACACTCTACCGGTGCGTTCATGTAATTTTGATTACTTAACTAAAATTAGGGAAAGGGGATTAGGTTTAGAGCAAACTTTATAGGTAAAATTACCTTACTAGCATTTTTATTAGTACTAAAACGCAGGTTTAGAGACTCGTTTTTTTTGTATACGTATCTTGCACTTTGATAAAGATCAACACATACGTATGTCCATTACTCTTAGGGTACATTTATATTGATTCTTATTAATACCTATACGTGATTGATTAAATAATCGATCGACTATAGCCGGTTATTAGCGTATAATAATAACCGATGCAGTTAGCCGGTTAATAGTCGATAACCGATCATAGTTGACCGAACCCATCCCTAGTCAAAATAATAAATGCTTTTCGAAACAAGGAATAAGTTTTCCAATATATTTCCCAACGTTCAGGAATAGGTTCATCTTCTGTTAAACCTTTAAGTTCATATTCTGTACTTTTAGCAATATAATATAATAAAGGTCGCAGTTCGAACGATCTAATTTTGGTCGGAATTAATGAAAAATGCTTTTACATAAGAATAATTTCTGGATATTTGTAATAAACGTCACTACCTCCACTGTAATTCAGATAATGAATTCAATTATGGGAATTGTTCCTATGAAATCGTCTCGTCTGTGAAAAACGAAATTATAGATAGCATAAATCATTGGTGGAATACCCGATATATAAGTATATGTGATAACTTGTATGTTTTGAAAGAATAGAAATAAGGAGTACAGGTAAGACCAAATTGATAAACACTTTTGGTAAATATTGTGCTATCTTCTTACCTATCTTTCCTATACTCATTTTTGAGGTCGATCTAGCCCCGATGATAAACTGACATTGTTATCTTTTTGCGACATTCTATTTTATTTTAAAAAGTTATTGGTTAGTATCATTATATGAAATACTATTAAGATTTTATATAATCTGAATAAATATCATTATATTAGTCCGGATACCTAACAGTGTTTTATTTCTTAGTAATACTGGTGCACGTTTATACTGCAAGATAATTAATATCGAAGCTTTTATCTCCAGCAGATTTTCAAATACTATGAACAAGAAATATGTTTAATAACATCGTGTTCAACAATATTACATAAGAATCCATAAAATACTTACGTTGGAAAAAATGTATATGTAAAAAATTTCTTTTTAGAAAATTCCTTACACTGTTTTCATTTATTATTAATCTTGTATTGTTACGATAGATAAGGTATACATATACCTATTCGAGTTATCCATGTTCAAAGTTTGTAAAAAGTTAGCCGCGGCCTTGTTTTTATAGTCATCTAAATTTTCTTTAAACTGAACAAGGATAAATCGATAGCTATATATTAAAAATCGATAAAAAATTTTTTTATTTTAATTCTATGGATTCAAATAAAAAAAAATTCATTAGTTTTTAATAGTAAATATCGAGTTCAAAGTGGAAAATTTGGGTGATTATCAAAACAAAGACTGCGACTAAGTTTTTACAATTTTGAACAATGATAACTCTACGAATACGTATCTATCTAAAAATTAATGAATTTTTTTATTTCAATTCTATCAATCCTTAGAATTAAATTAAAAAAAAAACTTTTTTGATATATAGTTATTGAGTTATTCTCAAAGTTCAAAGAAAATTGAGACGACATAACTTGATAAATATCTCCACGTCTAGGATTTTATGCTGCTGCATTATCGTAAGCAAAAATTGATTGGCTAAAGAAGTTAACCAGTTTGTACATTACTGTACGTACGTCGCATGCATAATTTGGCATCATAATCCTACGTACTACAAGAAGTCATGAAAACACACCAAAAGAATGGCTTGAAAAAGCTATTTCCGATGGGCATATTAATTCTCTTGAATATAATAAATTTACAGACCGAGATTTGATCGGTTCTGGGGGCTTTGGAGATGTTTTTAAATACGAGTGGAAAGACTGTGACTTAGCAGTTGCTCTTAAGCGTCTTAAAGTTGATACAAGTATAGGTGAAGACACTATTAAAGAGTTTATTAAGGAGGTATTGTTTGTTATACTAAAACTTTGATAGGATTCTACTCATTACTACAGATAATAGTTTATTTATATAATTTGTATAATTAGCTTAAACTATTACGAAGAGTTTCTTACCATCCAAATATTATTACGTTCTACGGAATTACTAAAGGTAAACAAATAATTTAATATTTTTTTGAGGTATCAAATAATAACCACGTTAAACAAAAATATTTATCAATTCGAATATATAGATAACCAGGGATCTTATTATATGATTTTAGAATATGCTGATCAAGGAAATTTACGAGAATACCTAACGACAAATTTTTCAAAATTAAATTGGACCAATAAAATCCGTATTGCATGAAAATAGAATTCTTCATAGAGATCTTGTAAGTATTATATGTTTTGCCTGATTTTATATTTTCTTAATTTTTACAAGAATTTAATCACTAATACTAGCATTCGAAAAACATCTTAATTCATCAAGAACATCCAAAGATTACAGATCTTGGACTATCAAAGCTGATGGGGATGGGTGAGACATCTAAAACTTTAAACTCAGCCATGCATGGAATGCCGGCATATATCGAACCTAAATCATTTATCGATCCCGAGTATAAATATAATAAGCAATCTGACGTCTATAGCCTCGGGGTAATTCTTTGGGAAACTTCAAGTGGAATACCACCATTCAAATCCTTATCGTTATCGGGTTATAATCTTGCTATTCATATATTCAAAGGAAATAGAGAAAAGCCTATAGAAGGTACACCACCTCAATATATTGAACTTTACGAAAAATGTTGGGACAACGATCCTGCCAATCGTCCAGAAACAAGGTTAATTCTCAGTACTTTAAAACAACTTATTTATAACGAAACTTTGAGTCGACATCATTCTAATGAAACACCAGCTCAAAATAGCGAAAGCTCCTCGAGTCATCAAGACGATATAAACTGGCATATGACTGCTATTGATGATTACAATTTAAGAGAAACATCAATTCAAAATAGCGAAAGTTTCTCGAGTCATCAAGACGATATAAACTGGTATATGACTACTATTAATGATTACAATTTAAGAGAAACATCAACTCAAAATAGTGATAGTTCATCGAGTCATCAAGACGATATAAACTGGTATATGACTGCTATTAATGATTACGGTTTACGAGAAATCTCTTTTGATAATCTTGGAACAATGAAACGGATAGATACTGGTTCATTTGGAGCAGTTTATCAGACAAATTACAAATTGATAGAAAAAAGTGTTACGGTGAAAGAAGTTTTAATTACATCAGATGATCATGAAAATATTGAAATTTTTATAAATGAAGTATGAAACTTATACAAGTTTTTTATATCCGCAATATATTGCTTTGAGGTTTAATAATAGAAATTTTAATTATCACCGCTTAGCTAAAACTACATAGCCAAACTAATCATCCACGGATCATTAAATTTTATGGAATAAGCTATGGTTGATTATAGTTTAATTACGTTTACCTTTTGTATTTTTCTTTTCTAACAATTTTATAATATAAAGGTCAAAGTAATGAAGCATACTGTCTTGTGATGGAATATTCTGAGGGTGGAACGTTACGACAATATGTGAAAAAACCTGTGCTTGATAGTCTAGAAAGAATGCGATTGGCATTACAAATAGTAGAAGGGATGGCTTATTTGCATAGTATTAATATCATCCATCGGGATTTGGTAGGCCCTACTGTTTATTATTGAATTTATTGCGAACATTTTATTTTTATGCTTATTTTTTTTTATTTTTTTATGTTTGCTTAGCATTCTAAAAATATTCTTATTCATCATGGAAATGTTAAAATAGCTGATTTCGGCCTATCTAAAAGTCTCAATAGTATAGCATCAACCAAAAACAATGTTTTTGGATTGCTACCTTATATGGATCCTCAAAAACTTCGTGATGACGCCTACATTTTGAATGAAAAATCAGATGTTTATAGTGTTGGTGTACTTTTATGGGAAATTTCAAGTAGCTGTATTCTTAATCGGATTGCTTATGAAGGCTTACGAGAAAAACCTACAAAAACCATGCCTGATGAATACATCAAATTGTATTCAGAATGTTGGCAGGAAAATCCTTCTAATAGACCTTCTATGCAATAAATATATGATACGCTAAAGTCTTTGGACTTGTGGTATCCGACTCTTGTTAATGATTATGGGTTGAAAGAAATTTGTTATACCAACTTTGGAGAAAAGAAAAGGATAGATAAAGGTTCATTTGGAACAGTTTATTTAACAACAAAGAAAAAAATGGTTGCAGTGAAGGATGTGTTTATTTCATCGGATGATGATTATAAAACTATCAAAAATTTTATTAATGAGGTATAAAAGTTATTATTATTATTAATTGTTATTGTTATTGTTATTGTTATTGTTATTGTTATTGTTATTGTTATTGTTATTGTTATTATTGCTATTATTATTTATTATTATTCTTATTGTTTATTATTTGTTCATTTATTTATTTATTGTTTATTTTTATTTTATTTTAGTTTTCTTCATTTATTATCATACAAGTTTATGGATTAAATTAAATTTTATTTATTATTCAGTTGAAGCTGCACAGTCGAGCCACTCATCCACGAGTTATTCAATTTCATGGAATAAGCCGTGGTTAGTTCTTAACTTACCCATAGTGCACAAAAAAATTAATTTTTAGTTTAACGGATAATTATTATTTCTTAAATAGATCAAAATAATGAAGCACACTGCCTTGTAATGGAATATGCAGAGGGTGGAACATTGCGGAAATATATACAAAATACAAATTTAGAATGGCAAGAAAGAATCCGATTGGCAATGCAAATTATAGAAGGAATAACTTATTTACATAGCATAGGAATTATTCATCGTGATTTAGTAAGTTCAAATCATATTATATAAATTTAATAAGTAATTTTTATACAATGCAATATTTCTTTTTTAGCATTCAAAAAACGTCCTTATACATCATGGAAACATCAAAATTGCGGATTTTGGTTTATCAAAAAATCTCAATAGTACAATGACAACTAAAAATCGAAATTTTGGAATGATTCCTTATATTGATCCTCAAAAGCTCTGTGATGAAAAATACATTTTGAATAAACAGTCGGATATTTATAGCATTGGTGTACTTTTTTGGGAAATTTCTAGTCGTTGCATTCCTTTTAAGAATGAAGGAAAGAGTACACTTGGCTTCCGAATTATTCAACAAAATTTGCGAGAAAAACCTGTAGAAGGAACACCTTGTCAATATATAAAATTATATTCAGAATGTTGGGAAGAAGATCCTACCAAAAGACCTCCTCTTTTTCAAATTCTTGAAAGGTTGAAATCTTTAAAATATGAACCAGTCTATAATGGGGCTGGTGTTCCGATATAAGTCGTGTTCGTGCTTATTTATAGAAAGCAATTTCATGTGTGTCTTTGTTATAATTAAGCTTGTATTTATATCTCAAATTAAATTATTGTTTTTTTTTAGATCAAAGCATTGTATCATTAAAATAATATGTGTCGAGACAGATGTTGAAATTTGGGTCTTTATTGATAGAATTTATAAAAATTTTTGGGTGTATTTTTTTCACTTTTTTTTTTTTTTGAGTCTAAGATTAAAATGATAATTAAAAAATATATGTGGATCTTAGCAGGGCTTATATTTTAAATCGCGACCCAACTTTCACATCAGTCCGACAATATGTAATGTATAACTAACGTATATCGGCTGTGTATATTTTACAGAAAAATTTTGCTTATACCTAACCTTAGGGTTGTTAATGGAGTGGGTTGGATTGAACTATTCCTCAACCCACTCTAACTTGGGCTGGGCTCACTCCGGAGCCGCCCCAGATTTGCTTAAAGTTGTATCAATTCACTCCAGTTTCACTTCAGCATATCCTTAATTCACTCTAACTCACTCCAGAGCAGCTCTTGACCATTAACAACCCTACCTAACCTTACTACACAATATATAATCGGTTTCTCCTTTGCTATCACATATCAATAAATTTTCATGTTTCGCTGCTTTTATTATAAGAGTAAAATGGTTAGAAAACTTGATACCTACATTTTTATTTACCCTATAAGAAAAGCGGCCCGGGTTGTGCTCTGGCTGGTTTCGGGAATGCATGAAATGGTACAGGTGTGTGGCACGTAAAGGTAAGAAAGGAATCATAGAGTCATTAGTCGACTAATTGACTAGTCGACTGATCGATAAGTTGACTAATCGACTAGCTAATCAACTAATCAGATAATCGAATAATTAACTATATGGTAATTAATTGACCAGTAATTACCGTAAAACGCTCTTTATAGTACCCGGGGTACATTCTATACGCGATCTAGGGGGTACAATACATAGCGATCTCAAATAGAAATTTTTTTTTTTAACACTTTTTAATAACGGGGGTACAATACAAAAATCATCTTCAAAAAGTCAGGGGTACTTTACACAGGGGGTACTATAAAGAGCGTTTTACGGTAATCAAAAATTAATTGATAAATTTGTTAACTATTGTTCATATAACATCTGACTAACCGATTAGTTATTCAACCAGTCGATTAGTCAATTAGTCGACTATTAGTCAACTAATAGAATAGTCGAATAATCTATTAGACAATTTTTAATTAGTCGACGACTAACGGATTTGGTTGACTGACTAATCGACTAAAAATTTCTGAGGCACATTTTACGTGATGGTACGACTAAAATTGAGGGAATATTGAAGGTCAAGGAACCCAGTGATATCTTCATGTGACTTCCCCTGGTTCGACCTAAACATTAAAACGCTGTATCACAATAATCACTTAAAAATGGCCAATTTTGGTCTATAAAAGGAGAAAATGAGTGAAAGTTTTCTACTATTGTACAATAACGATAGCTCTTACGCACAAAGATGGACATATATTTAATCTATTTGTATCATTACAATATTTCACAAAATTTCTGCTGTACGCATCTAACAGGTATATGTGTAATTACGTACGCACGTACATACATACGTTTTCCTGACAAAAAATTTTGTCCTCTTAAGATGATAAATTTACCAAACGAATGCTTTATTAAAATATTTAATAACTTCCAGAAAGACTACAAAAGTTTATATTATTGCCTTCTTGTAAATCGTCACTGGTGTAGAATTATTGTACCAATATTATGGAGCAATGTAGGGGAAAAATTTAAAAATGGAAATTTTATAAATACATGTCTTTCAACATTAAATGCGGAAGAACAAACATTATTAATTCCCTTAAAAATTAATTTTCCAAATAATCCAAAACCATTATTTGAATATACAGGTTATATTACAACTGTTAGCAGTTCTTTAAATGTAGGTGTTATTAATTGGCTTGAATATAACGGTTGTGGAAGAGTATTTCGATATGATAATCATTGGGAAAAAGATAAAATTGTAAATGCTATTAAATGTTCATTAATTGTAATGTTTCTACGAACAGATAAGAAACTGAAAAATTTAGAAGTTTTTAATATTATTTATGATGATAATATATTGTTTGAAAATTTATGCAAAAATAATATTATTACTTCTTTATATCTTTGTGGAAATTTATACAAGTCCGAAGAAATAGCAGATATTCTTTACGAGAATACTACTCTAACTTCTTTAAGACTTAACGAAAATAAAATTGGTATTTATGGAGGAAAAGAGTTAGCAAGAGCACTTCAAATGAATACTACACTAGTTTCTTTAAAATTCGAACGCGAAGATATTGGTGTTGGTGGAAGAAATGCATTGGTAAAAGCACTTTGTAAGAATACTACTTTAACATCTTTAAGCTTTATTGATAATAAAATTGGCGATGAAGGAGGAAAAGCAATTGCAAAAGCACTTCATATAAACACTACTTTAACATCTTTAAAACTTAGTAATGATAATATTGGTATTGAAGGAGTAAAAGCATTTGCAGAAG